AAAAAAAAAAAAAAATACACACACACACATATGTGTGTGTGTGTGTATGGGTTGGGCATGGTGGCTCACGATTGTAATCCCAACACTTTAGGAGGCTGAGGCAGGAGGATCACCTGAGGTCACGAGTTCGGGACCAGCCTGGCCAACATGGTAAAACCCCATTTCTACTAAAAATACAAAAAAAATTAGCCAGGCGTGGCGTGCATCTGTAGTCCCAGCTACTTGGGAGGCTGAGGCAGGAGAATCACCTGAGCCTGGGCAGCAGAGCTTGCAGTGAGCCGAGGTCATGCCACTGCACTCCAGCATGGGCGACAGAAACTCTGTCTCAATAAAAAAAATATACATATATAAAAATATATATAACTCTCTCTCACAGTACTGAGTTATTCACTAACAGGACATCACTTCCAGCATATGATCTACCGTGTGCCTATGGCTTTGTAAACTCAAGTATAAACTCAAGTGCAAAGTCCTCAGAGCTGTGAGGACCCAGATCCCTCTGCTCCCAAGAGCCCAGCTCCGCTGTCAGGCCTCTCCTTTTCTCCTCGTCTTTTATGCGTCAGTTAAGAGCTTCCCAAACAATCCCGAAAACCCTCAGGACGACTCCATGGAGAAACCGTGTGACTTGCCCGCACCTTCCTCTGGTGATACCCACCCCCTCCTCTGCTTCCCCTTCCTACTTTTTAACTGGGCATGGATGTATTTTTCTTTAAACACACACACACTATATCATTATTTTCCTCCAGTTTTCAGAGCCTTTCAAATTACGGTGATTGTTGCTAAGCCAAAAATCTTACCCTTTGTACAATAAAATACATTCAACGTGTTTTAAATGAGGGTGCTGTGTGGGGCTGTTTTAAAAGTCCCCCTCTCCCCCCGACAGTGAAGGGCTCTATACACAGAAGCCCAGATCCCCTCAGCAGCGGGCACTGCCCAGGGTGTGACCGCCCTCTCTGCCTGCACAGGAGAGCGATTCATACCAGCAGAACCGGAAAAATCACAGCTGAAAGCAACCAGGAAAGAAGCGGGGGCCAAGAGAGCAACGTCAAGGAGTTGGATTTTCTGGTAGGTGAGTCACAAGAAACACTCCGGCCACAGTCCGAGGCCCCAGGAGGCCCGGCTTGCCCATCAGGAATGTAGGTCAAACTCCCGTGGGAAGGGTGAGAGCCCAGACACCCCAGGCAGAAGCTCAAGTTCCTAGGAGAGCTGGGAGGCTAGCCAGAAAACAAGGCCTCCACTCGCCCTCCAGCACCAGCCCCGGCCCACCCTCCAAGCCTCCATTTCCACAGACTGCAAAGAAACAGAATTGCAGCGTGCTGGCCCCGCTCTCCGCTCTGTTCTGAACTGTGCCATCCCATGCCTTTGTATCAGGGTTCACAGGATGGTGAGTGGGCTTTATGTATACAGGGACAGATACTCACCCAGTTCAGTCGACACGGGGGACCCGGTAGCAATCTCACCAATCTTGGCCACTCCGTCATAGTAGGCTTTTCCTGCCAGGATCATAGCTAGACACGAAAGGTGACACACAAAACTGTCACTTAGACAAGGAAAGGAGGAAGCCACATGGGTTTGCTTCCAAACACCCCTCAGTCCCTTCTGGCTGCAGGGAGGCTCAGGCCATGGTAAATGTGGCTCTCAGGAGGTAAGGCCTGCATTGAGAGCATGCCAGGGTCGAGGCCCCCACCAAAGGGACAGCCCCATGAGACAGATCCTCGTCTCTGACCAGCCCCGAGGAACCTTCAGCAGCAGGTACTCAAAGTCCACAGAAGGTTCTGCTTGCTCCTGACGCCAGTTTCAGACCACTCTGAAACTGTGTTCTGACGCTGAACTAGGGATTTGGCTGGGCATGGCAGCTCACACTTGTAATCCTGGCACTTTGGAAGGCTGAGGTGGGAGGATTGCTTGAGCTCAAGAGTTTGAGACCAGCCTGGGCAACATGGTCAAACCCTGCCTCTACAAAAAATACATAAATTAGCCGGGCATGATGGCATGTGACTGCAGTCCCAGCTACTGGGGAGGCTGAGGCGAGAGGACCTCTTGAGTCTAGGATGCAGAGGTTGCACTGAGCCAAGATCATGCCACTGCATGCTAGCCTGGGTGACAGAGCCAGATCTTGTCTCAAAAATAAAAATAGGCCGGGTGCAGTGGCTCAGGTCTGTAATCCCAGCACTCTGAAAGGCTGAGGTGGGTGGATCACAAAGTCAGAAGATTGAGAACATCCTGGGTAACACAGTGAAACCCCATCTCTATTAAAAATACAAAAAGTTAGCCAGGTGTGGTGGTATGTGCCTGTAGTCTCAGCTACTCAGGAGGTTGAAGATAGAGAATCACCTGAACCCAGGAGGTGGAGGTTGCAGTCCAGCCTGGGTGTCAGAGTGAGACTCTGTCTCAAAATAAAACAAAAAACAAAAAAATAAATTGAATGCTCTTTTTTTTCTTTTTTGGCAAAGACAGGAAAAAATTTTATTGCTACACAGTGGGTTCTGATTATCTTAAAAATAATATTGCCCCCTTCAAACTAATTCTGAAGACTAAATTATAACTATGTGACCTCCTGGGGCAAATTACTTATCCTTTCTGAACAAAGGTTGCTCATCCTTAAAATGCCCTAAGAATGTGAGCAATAAATGAACAAATGGAAGCTGCTAACACATTTTTTTCACTTTACAATCTAGGTTTGAGGGGCTTGAAGGTATGATACAGACCCAGCCTGCTAAATGTAAATTTGGAGAAAAGCATTTATTTGGAATTTTACTCTAAGTTTGTTTTCAGACCTAGAAATCAGTTTCCCCTGGAGCTTTGGAGACCACAGTGTTTTGGAGCTAAAAGTGCCCTCAGGAATCCTAGAGGCCACACCAGCTACCATGCCCCAATGTATAATGGGCAATTGTTTTAACGTGGTGGATTTTATTTTAGTTTTTTTTGAGAGGCAGGGTCTTGTTCTTTCACCCAGGCTGGAGTGCAGTGGCATGATCGATCAAGGCTCACTGCAGCCTCAACCTCCTGGGCTCAAGGGATCAGAAGGCTCACCTGATACCTCTGCCTCAGTCTCCCGAGTAGCTGGGACGACAGGCACATGCCACCATTCCTCAGTAATTAAAAAAAGTTGAGGAGGGTGGGTGCGGTGGCTTATACCTTTACTCCCAGCATTTTGGGAGGTTGAGGAGGGAGGATCACTTGAGCCCAAGAGTTCAAGATCAGCCTGGGCAACATAGGGAGACCCCATCTCTACTAAAAACAAACAAACAAAAAATCTAGCCAGGCATGGTGGTGGTGGTAAATGCCTATAGTCCCAGCAACTCAGGAAGCTGAAGTGGGAGAATCACTTGAGCTGGGAAGGCCAAGGCTGCAGCGAACCACAGTTGTACCACAGTACTCCAGCCTGGGCAACAGAGTGAGATCCTCTGTCTCAAAAGAAAAAAAAATTTTTTTTTTTTTTTTAAGAGTTGGGGTC